CCCCCTACTTTCTCTCTAAATAAATTATATGTTCTAATCTAAAAAGAAAAAAAAGCCAGGAAGCCGGGCAGGGTGGCCACCTGTACCTGCAGTCCCAGCTACTCAGGAGCCTGAGACAGAAAGGAGAGCACCTGTGTTCAGGAAGTGGAGGCTGCGGTGAGCCATGATTGTGCCCGTGGACTTGGTGTACTCCAGCCTGGACAACAGAGTGAAATTTCAAGTCGAAAAAACAAATTAATACTCATTTTATACCACCATTTCCTTAAACCCAGCAGGGCCCATTCCCTGTAGAAAATTTCCAAGTAAAATCTGTGTTTGCACTACCTACCTTGAAATAAATTGCTATGCTAGCATCTACCTAGTGAGGAAGGAGCAGGAGAAAAGGAAAGGTGCTTCTCACAATCTTCAGCCTGAGGGCAGAGATAGTGATCTGCTCTCTCTGGGCTACACAATGCACATAACCTTGGCCCAGGGCAATCTATGACCAGATTCCTGTGGGGACAGATTTCACCCATTTCATATGTAAAGGAGGCTCATCATAATCTCTTTACACAAAAGAGGTACAGCTTTTCACTTTAAGAGACTCTCCTCTTAGATTACTCTTTCCCAACTTGACCATCAACTTTATACACTGTCACGGTGTTAAACCCTTTACTCTAGAAAGAAACCGCTAAAACTTCAGCATTAACCTGGCGGTGGCTCCCGGCTCTCATCCCAGCACTTTGGGGGACCCAGGTAAGAGGATTGCCTGAGTCCCCCGGTTCAAGACCAGCCTGGGCAACATGGCAAGACCTTGTCTCTACGCTAAATCAAAAAACTTATTTGGGTGTGATGGGGCACACTTGTAGTTCCAGCTACTTGGAAGCCTGAGCCCAGGAGGCAGAGGCTATGGTGACCATGAGCGTGCCACTGCACTCCAGTCTGGGTGAGAGAGTGAGACTCCAACTCACACACACACAAAAAAAAACATCTACAACTTAAATCGTTTTTTAAAAAAGTTGAGAACAGAAAAAAAATGATAGATTGTAATTGCAATCTGAGGCCAAGGTCATAACTATTGGAACTACCTAACCAAATTCTTCCAATCGTAACTTAAGACTAACTCAGTAAATGCTGGCAAGAGCGCATCAGCAAAGACCTCGCTGGTGGCTCTGTTCCCCAGGGCTAGTCCCCAGACCAAGGCAGCCACACTAAGGCAGTCCTGACTTGTACAGCAGGGCTTCACCGGGGCAGTTTTATACACTGGCGATTCCTGCAACCTCCAGAGCAAGAGGGGAAATGAGCAAAACTGAGCTTCTGTTACCTGAGGTAAAGACAGCAAAAGTGATTCAAAACAGTTCACTGGATTCCTACTAATAGGCAGTGGGGAATTCTCCTAGAACTGAATAAATGAATGTCTTTAACTTCAGCAATGAGTCTCAGTTCAAATCATGGCAGGGGTCTGGACTCAGGTGTGTGTTTTGTAATCACGGCTCGCATCACCTTTGTTCGGTGACACATGGCCAGCGGCACCACAGGTGTGCCCTGTGCAGCCTCCCTTGTGAGGGTGGCTGCGCTTTCCTGTGCTCAAGTTACTGTTGTGCCACCCTACCCAGGACACTCGTTAATCTCGGTGGAATGCCATGTATATTTTCAAGAAACACGGGGGAGGAGAACAGATGAAGGGCTGCACTCTGACCCCACAGAAGCAGGGGCTCATCCTTCCTGACCTCTGCCCAGATGAAGCCCCAATCCTTGCTCACCCTGTGCAAGTCCCTGACCAAAATCATGGGCTAAATGATCCCACACTAATGCATATCTCCAACTAAAGAATGTTAGTTTTTTCCCCAGAAATAATCTGGAGGTACACAGGTTCCAAAATGAGATTTGTAAAGAGCTAAACCAGGCCGGGCGTTGGTGGCTCAGTCTGTAATCGCAGCACTTTGGTTCTGCCTGAGCCCGCGCGGGTCGGAGGCCAACCTGGGCAACTTGGAGAGACTTCATCTCTATCATAAATCAAAAAATTAGCCAGGTGTGGTGGCGCGTGCCTGTGGTTTCAGCTACTTGGAAGGCTGAGGAGGAAGGGTCAATGGAGCCCAGCAGGTCGAGGCTGCAGTGGCCATGCCACTGCACTCCAGCCTGGGCAGCAGAATGAGACTGCAACGCAAAAAAAACTTTTGTAGGAGAGACTGAGACAGACAGACACCTGCTGATGTTCATATTACTGCCGTCCCTAGAGAAGGGCATTGTAGGGATTCAAGCACACCGAGCACATGACTGAGAGTCCTCCTATCTTCTATGCAGTCCCAGCAAGTGGCTTGAGGGGATCCTTGACTTCCCTGCAGACTCTGCCCAAAGATGGAATCCGTATTTACTTCCCTTCTTCCTAATCCCAGGTTTGAATAATACTGCATCCATGTAATGGTAAGTCTTGTGATTTGTATAACTTTTGCATCAATGTAATGGTGAGTCTTGTGACTTGGGTGACTTTTGTAATGCATGATAAACTTCCTGGACTCTAAATGTCACTATCTAAATGCAAAATGCAGTCTATAAAGGCTCTGCTGGTGATGTGGTTAATGTATAGGTATTGAAAAGTCTGGAATGTAAACACCAACTGGAGGCTTCAAGGGTGGGCAGAACCTTTTTTTTTTTTTTTTTGGATTTGGAGTCTCACTCTGTCACCCGGGGTTGGAATGCAGTGACACACTCACAGCCACCGCAGCCTCAACCTGCTGGGCTCCAGTGATCCTTCCGCCTCAGCTTTCCAAGTAGTTGGAATTACAGGAACGTGCCACCATGCCCAGCTGATTTTCGATTTATTGTAGAGACGAGGTCTCACAAGTTGCCCAGGCGGGGAACCTGTGGGCTCAGGCAATCCTCTCGCCTGGGCCTCCCAACATTCTGGGATTACAGGCGTGAGCCACCAAGCCCAGCCCAGAACCATTTTACAAAGATCTGGAGTCAGGCGCTGCTCCCTGGATTCGAACTTAGAAATAAACCTCTTTCTACGGGTCCCCTGCCCCTTTGATCCATGGGCATTGAGGGAGAAGCAGCTGAGCGTCACCGGCCCTTAACAGGATGTGTGGCGCAATTACGAGTCTCAGGGGACCAATGCCAGAGACAGTGAAGACGTGGGTCCATGTGCAGGAAGACCCAAACGCCATGCCGCAGTCCTGGAGTCCTGGAGTCCTCCCCTCTGCCCCGTCTGCTCCTTTCCACTTGACCTTCACAGCAGAGGTAGGGACTTCAAGGAGACTCTTTTGCACAAGTGCAGTTGAGTGCTTCAGGAAGACTCAGGGCTCAAGGAAATATGTGATGATAGTGGCAAGTCTACATAAACCCAGATTATAAATCTAACACTTAGAACCATAAAAAAATTAAATTCAACATATGTAAAAACAGAAACCACAAGACTATATCATTAGACACAGAAAAAGCCTTTGATAAAATCCAGCATCCCTTCTTAATAAAAACTCTCGAACATCTAGGCATAGATGGAACATACCTCAAGACAGTCAGCGCCATCTACGAGAAACCCACATCCAGCATAAGCTAAACAGAAAGAATTGGAATTTCCCCTGAAAACCGGAACAAGACCCAGATGCCCACTCTAGCCCCTCCTTTTCACCGTCATGTTGGAAGTCCAGTTATCCCTCTTTGCAAACAACATGATTCTAGACCTCAAAAACCCAAGATAATTTGTCCAAAACTTCCTTACACTGATAAGGAACATTGGCAAAGTCTCAGTGTTAAAAAAGAAAAATTAAATTAAAATAGGTTTCCATCATACAAGAAACACACAAACCATTTGAGGTTTCAGGTTGGAGGATGAATTAGATCAAGATTGTCTATTTCAAAGCTCTCATTGTAGACCTAGGCAAGTGACTGCCTCCATGACCTGGGCATACCATCTATACCACAGTGAAGTCACCATCACCTTTTTTTTCCAGTTGGAGTCTCACTCTGTCACCCTGGTTGCAGTGCACTGGCACTCTCATGGTCACCACAGCCTTCACCTGCTAGGCTCAGGGGATCCTTCAGTCTCAGCCTTCCAAGTAGCTGCAACTACAGGTGTGCACCACCACACCCGGCTAATTTTTTTTTTTAATTGTAGTGATGAGGTGTTGTCAAGTTCCCATGGGCTCAGGCCATCCTCTCACCTGGGCCTCCCAGAGTGCTGGGATTAAAGGCGCGAGTCACTGCACCTGGCCCTTTTACTTGAAGGCCCCCAACGCCCTGTGATGCCTGGACAGCCCCACTGACCATCGTCCTGCTCCTCCTGCACACAAAGTTCAAGTCCGCCAGGTCTTTGGACTTGCAAGCCTTTGTCCCCACAGCTCGAAAGGCTAGTTTCTTTCTGTCCTCTGGGTCTCTGCTTAACTGTCCTTTTCGAATCATGCTAAGATGCTACCACTAGAACATATGTTCCATGGAGGTCAGAACTGTGTGAATAGGCAAATCTGGAGACAGAATCACTTGATCTGTGGCTGCCTAAGGCTGAGGGAATGGCAGGGAATAGAAATGACTGCTCAATGCTTCTGAAGCTTCCCTGGGGGGTGAGGGAAATGGTCTGGAATGCTACAGAGGCGGTGGCGGCACAACTCTGAATAGACCAAAAGCAACGAAACTGCACATTTTGAATGGATGAATGTCGGCGGGACTCGGTGGCTCGGCCTGGCAGCCCAGCACCTTGGGAGGTCGAAGCGAGGTGGATGGCCTGAGCCCGTGGGTTCGAGAACAGCCAGGGCAACTTGGCCAGACCTTGTCTCTACAATAAATTTTTTTCAAAATTAGCCGGGTGTGGTGGCACATGCCTGTAGTTCCTGCTACTTGGAAGGCTGAGGCGGAAGGATCGCCTGAGCCCAGCAGGTTGACGCGGGAGTGGCTGTGAGTGGGCCACTGCACTCCAGCCTGGGTGACAGCGTGAGATTCCAACTCATAAATAAACAAACAAACAAGTGGATGTAAATTATACCTCAATATAATATTATATCCAAAAAAAGAAAATGAAACAGACAGAAAGGAAAACTACAGAAGGAAAGGGAAAGGAAGGGAGAGATGAGGGGCGCGGCTAAGCTTCAGGTCAATAACAGTTGTTGATGGGGAACTGGTGAAGACCACGGACTCTCATGCCTCTGAAACCCGACGTGGATCTAGGTTTTGTGAGCCACCTCTGGTTAAAGAAAGAGAGGAAGCCTTATAATGAAGTCTGGCATATGCAGTTAGAAGAAAAATAAGATTGAATAAGCGATACTACAATTTAATAAAAAATAGGAAAAAATCTCTGAAGAAATCAAGTGTTCCTCATGGATTCACAAGAACAAAGGTTTTGCAAATGAATTCATCTGGAAGAAACAGCGTCCCACATCATGAAGACTAAGCATAGCTGAAAGGCCAAAAGTTTGTTTCGGGTAAAGGATCGAGGATATCACCTTTGCAAGCCCTGCTCGGTGGGCTCCTTTGGATTCCATGTACGCGAGGTATTTGTTGAAGTCTCGGAACTCCTCCATGGAGGGTCTGAAGGTCATTATCTTGCAACTGGGGTTCAGAGGACTCTCCGTCCCGTCCACCTCCATGATGGCTAGTGTGGTGTCTGCAGAGAAAACAGTCATCAGCACTGAATCAATCACTTGGTGCTTGATGTCAATGGTCATTTCTCCCAAGCAGCATGTCAGCTCTCCCAGTAGGAACTCTTCTTTTACCATTCCCTTCTACCACTCTCAGTGGGTCTCCCTCCCCTGACCCCCAAACAGAAACAATAGCCTCTAATCCCTCCTGCCAAGTTCCTATTCCTGGCATTGAATCACTGAGGAACTGTATTGCCGGCCTCTTCAAAATCCTTCCATGAAAAAACAAAACCTTCTAGCTTTGCAAGTCTATGAAAGATGCTGCCTCGGCCAGGCTGGAATTCTTGAAGCGAGAGGAGGCGAGGCGGTCCCTAGAACCGAGTTCCCATCCCCAGGACAACATACAGCTCTGCTGGGGCAATCTGTGGGCGTCCACAGGCAGAGAGTGGGTTTGTGCCACAACAGCTTCATCGAGATGTTATTCACATACCATACAGTCTACCTGTTTATGTTTGTATGGTCTGACAGTTCTTAGTATGTTCACAGAGTTGTGCATCTATGCCCACAATCAATTTTAGATCATTTTAATTATCCCCAAAAGAAACCCCGCACCTGGCCAGGCACGGTGGCTCATGCCTATAATCCCAGCACTTTGGAGGCTGAGGCAAGAGGACTGCCTGAGCCCAAAGGACCGAGACCAGCCTGGACAACTTGGAGAGACCTGGTCTCTACAATAAAGCAAAAAAATAGCCAGGCGTGGTAGCACACGCCTGTGGTTACAGCTACTTGGAAGGCTGAGGCAGAAGGATCGCTGGAGCCCAAGCAGGTCGAGGCTGTGGTGGCAGTGAGCATGTCACTGCACTCCAACCTGGGCGATGGAGTGAGACTCTGACTCAAGTAACAATAATAATAATAGTAACACAGAGCAAGACTACAGATAGCAATATGGTCATCATTTATGTAAAGGAAGTTTAAAAGAGCACCTGTATCTCTAACAAGCCAGTGATTAGTGACATTGATTAATTAGACCATGCACACATGCTGAGGTCGAAGTACCAGAGTAAACAAAAGTTTGCTGCAACAGATGAAGACAGTCGCTCTGCTTTCTGGCAATTAAACTGAGGCACTGTGAGGCAACTAAACGCAGGAGGCACCACTCCTTAGGAACTTACAATCCAAAGGAGAAAACAATCTGCCCAGGGATACACTATTACATGGCAGAAGATATTCGGGATTCTTCCGGCCTCAGAAAGAAAGCATGTGAAAGAGAAAACAAACAACTTCCAGGCTCTCTAACACACACCCAAACCCATGGACTACAGGCCAGAATCTTTATTCTGCACTATAATAGAATCCATAATAGCACAGAATCTGCTACAATAATTATTTGCCAGCTGAATGAAACAATAAGTACCAAGCCATTAACAGTGATACAAATTCAGGAAACAGAAAGCACTCATCCCAAATATAGAAAGGTCACTTAGAAAACAGACTCATTTGCATGATGGATATGAAATATGAGAAGAGAAAAATCTAAGCAGTCAGAAAAGGGAAGAGGCCGATAGACCACCTGTGTGGAAACATTTTGTCCACAGAAGCCAGTGTTCCTTCTCCCTGAGCCAAAGAACAAGGGCCACCTGAATATTTCTCTAGGCAGAGGAAGACACCACAAAAGACACTGGAAATCCATCCAGCCATTTAACAAAGAGTGACTAAATGCCTTACTGCTAGGAGACATTCAGTAGGGTACGCAACAAAGTCCTAACACGAATGGAGCGAAACAGACAATAAATGCTCGTAAATAGCACGAAGAACCCAGGGCAGAAGACAGAGGACATCCGGAGGGCTTGTTGTTTATGCAGGTTAGGCAAAGGAAGGGATTCCGGAGAAGCCAAGGCCTGAAAGGCGGGAATTAAGAATACAGATACAAGGAAGAGCGTTTTAGCCGGGCGCAGTGGCTCACACATGTCATCCCAGCCCTTTGGGAGGCATAGGTGAGAGGACTGCCTAAGCCCATGGGTTCGAGACCAGCCTGGACAATATGGCAAGACCTCATCTCTACAGTAAATCATAAAAATGAGCCAGGGCGTGGTGGTGCACATCTGTAGTTCCAGCTACTTGGAAGGCTGAGGCGGAAGGATCACCTGAGCCCAGCAGGTGGAGGCTGCGGTGGCCGGTAGCGTGCCACTGCACTCCAGCCTGGGTGACAGCCAGACTCCAACTCAAAAACGACAAAAAAGAGCATTTTAGTCTGAGGCAACAGCAAGGAAGGAGGCTCCAAGGAACAGCAAGGTGTGCTTGGACTCAGTAAGAGAGGAGAAAAGGTGAGATTACAGTGAAGCTGGGAGGGAGGAAAGGAGTCTGCCGCTTGCTCTTCAGGAGATGGGAGATGACCTTGGCCTTCCTCCCCTTCTTGTTTTCCCAGTCCCTGGCACTCAAACATTACTTCATTCAAGGTGAGGGCATCATTCTCTAAGGCGACTCTTCTGTGTGGTCTGAAGCAGAGAAGTGAGCTGGCTCACGCTTTGTAAGTCCCATTCTGGCTCTTGAGTCCAAAAGGGCAGGCCTAAAAGTAGGAGCATCGCAAGGAGACAATTTACACTAACTCGGGCAAGATAAGACGGCAGCTTGGACCCACAGACTGCAGGTATCTTCTGAACAAAATTACCCGGCAAAAGTGAGAAACAGAAGTGGAGATTTCCGGTTAAGCCATAGAACCATGGCTCTGATAAGAAACTGAGGCACGGAGACTTGTTAAGACAGGCAGCAAATGAATAACCACTAGAATTCAAACCTCAGCCCATGACCTAATTTGCTAACTGGTCTGGAAAACACACTCTGCCCATTCTTAGCATCAACACTCCCTAAGTTGCACAAAACCAATTCTACCCACAAATCAAGAGCACCTATTAAAGATCCAGCTAGATTAAGATTTAGACCTTCTCAACCTATGCATTAGCATATGATTATCATAAAAATTTAAATATGTTAAAGGATCTGGAAAGTTAACTTAAACCCCACACTTTTTCTCTATATAATAAGCAAAAATGTCTGGTGTGAAGTTTTATTTCTTTGATTATGACTGACATTGATCATTTTTGAACACATAACTATTTTCCATATATTTGGGGGGAGTTGCTGACTCCCATTCTTTACCGCTAAAAGATAGTTTATTGGCCAGGCATGGTGGCTCAAGTTTGTAATCCCAGCACTTTAGGAAGCTGAGGCGACAGGACTGCCTGAGACCAGCCTGGGCAACTTGGTGAGACCTCATCTCTACAATAAATAAAAATTAGCCAGGCATGGTGCTGCACGCCTGTGGTTCCAGCTACTTGGAAGACTAAGGCGAAAGGATCACCTGAGCTCAGAAGGCCCAGGCTGCGGTGGCTGTGAGCGTGCCCCTGCACTCCAGCCTGGGCAACAGAGTGAGACTCCGACTCAAAACAGTAAAACCAAGCTCAGTCACTAAATCTAACTACCATCTTTCAGGGAATGGAGGGGACAGAGGAACATGAGAAAAACCACCACAAAAAAGCATTGTGCCAAATCCTGGACGTAGGATGAGCCACATTCCAAAATCCAGTGAGGTTGGGAGGCAGTGGAGTGTTACAGAACAAAGGATTCACAGTACAGATGAATAAAAACTATATGCATCAACCACAGGCCACTGGACATGAGATTAAAAAGTCACACAGTGTAACAAAAGGAGACAAATAAGATTAAAAGACCACAATGAGAACCAAGGGTCTTTAATAGGTTTTATATGTATATAACCCGAGGATGTCTCATAAAACTTCTCCGTTAAAAGCAGAAATTTAGAACCCTGAACCTTTAGCTTCAATACCCGGGTGTGTGTGTGTGTGTGTGTGTGTGTGTGTGTGTGTGTGTGTGTGTGTACTCCCTGCACTCTTACTTTCAACTCGCAACGGTCAACGGCTAAACACCAGCGTTCCTTTCGCAGCAGCTGGCTTCCAACTAAGGAGGTAATTATTAATACTAGAAAATAGGGGGCCGGGCTCGGTGGCTCAGCCTGTAATCCCGCGCCTTTGGGAGGCTGAGGTGAGTGGATTGCCTGAGCCCGCGGGTTCGAGACCCGCCTGGGCAGCGAGACCTCATCTCTACAATAAATCAAAAAATCAGCCGGACGTGGTAGCGCACACCTGTAATTCCGGCTACTCGGAAGGCTGAGGCGGAAGGATCGCCGGAGCCCAGCAGGTCGAGGCTGCGGTGGCCGGGAGCGGCCACTGCACTCCAGTCTGGGCGACAGAGTGAGACTCCAACTCAAAAAAAAAAAAAAAAAGAAAATAGGGGGAAGGGTGAGCTTACATTCAGCCACAGCTCGCACAACACAATAACCACCTAATTTGTTTTGTTAGAAATCCTGTTATCCTTTTCCCTGGGAATAAAACGTCCATTCATCTCTAACAATACAGTGATTAGTGACCATATTGATTAATTAGGCCATGCACAAATATTTAGGTTGAAGTAACAGAGTAAACAAAAGTTTGCTGTAACAGATGAAGGCAGTCACTCTGCTCTCTGGCAATTACACTGAATTGACCGCCAGGTGGTGTGGCTCACACCTATAATCCCAGTGCTTTGGGAGACTGAGACAAGAGGATTTCCTGAGACCACAAGTTGGAGACCTGCCTGGGCAACTCGACGAAGCACCTCATCTCTACAATAAATCAAAAAATTAGCCAGGCGTGGTGGCACGTGCCTGTGGTTCCAGCTACCTGGAAGGCTGAGGCGGAAGGCTCGCCGGAGCCCAGCAGATCGAGGCTGTGGGCGTGCCACGGCCTCCAGCCTGGGTGACAGAGTGAGACTCTGACAGAAAAACAAGAAAAAAAAGTTCTCCTCACCCTCATTCCATACCTGCAGTCAATCTTCATTATTGACGGATTTTGTTTTTGCAAATTCACCCACTCACTAAAATGCATTTCTACCGCCAAAATCAGCACTTGCGGCGCTTGCGTGACCATTCGGAGACGCACGGAGCAATGAAAAGTGTGACCTGCCCAAGGCACAC